CCGCGCCGCGCTCGCGGAGCAGTCTGGTCGCCAGGAGCTCGTCGTATAGCGGGCTGCCCGGCGCTGAGCGGAAGCTCGCGTGTGGCCCATCGCACGCGTCCGCATGCCGGAGACGAAGTCCCACATGAGGCTCAGCGGCGCCGTGGGTGGGCTGCCGGGCTCGGGCAGCGGCGCCACTCCAAGGAGCTGCCCGTGGACTGCCGCGAGGAAGGTGGAGCCTCGCCACAGCCATGAGGTAGCCGACGTCGCGGCCTCTAACTCTGACTCGCTTTTTGAGCTCCAGCTGGCCTGGTGGCGCGCCCACCGCTGGGTCTCCGTGGACGCGAGGCTGGAGAAAATGTCAAGCACGAGCATCTGAGCCTCCTGCCATTGTGCTGGGTCACGGTGGTAGAACGTGGCACGTAGCTGCCGGGGCGCGCCCGCGGGCTGGGCGGCCGAGCTCTGGTGCCCGGGGCAGCTGGCACGTGACCGGGTAGTGGTCCAGGTCTCCGCTGCCGAACGTCTCGCGGTGGCGTCCACATTGGGCGCGGGTGCACCCGGCTGCTTTGCAGTGGACTCCATTATGGACTACGGCGCCCCCGAATCCTGGGCCAGCCGCCCATGCCACGTCCAGCCTGCGGCCGCCAGAGTGCGTGGGAACCTCGCGCGGGACGAAATCTCGGAGGTGGTCCCAGAGAAGATCTCCTCCTCCTCCTCCTCCTCCTCCTCCTCCTCCTCTGCCAAGTGTCATCGCATTACTCCTCTACCAGTCCCCATCCAACTAAGAGGAGGCGATGGAATGAGGGGAGGAGGAAGGAGGATAAGAGCATGAGGAGAAAGTTAGAAGGAGCAAGGAGCAGGGGCAGGAGCACCAGCAGCAGGGCGGAGGAGGAGGAGGAGGAGAAGCAGGGAGGAGCAGGGAGGAGGAGGAGGAGGAGGAGCAGGGAGGAAGGAGGAGAACGAGGGAGGAGGAGGAGGAGGAGGAGGAGGAGGAGGAGGAGGAGGAGGACGAGGAGAAAGGAGGAGAACGACGAGGATGGGGAAGGAAGAGGGAGAAGGAAGAGTTGGAGTAAGAGGAGGAGGAGGAAGTCCGTTGCAGTTTTGGCTCAATGCCATATGCGGGATTCATCCCCCGTACTCGGGGTCCCCGAGCCGGCCTCAGCCCGCTGGTCGCAGTCGCGCGATGGCGGCACGGCGGGCGACATCAGCCGGGAGGAGCACGAGGCTAAGCATGTGCTCCAGCTACGAGAACTGCGGGTACATGAACGCGACGTGCCCGACGGGGCCTAAGCCGTTGCGAGCTGCGGCGCACAGGACCGTCTACTAAATGCGAAAGGGCAGGGACGTCAAATGAAGTAATCCATCACTCTTGGTCGCCGCCATGACGAACGTGCGAGCTGATGGCGAGCAGACGTACGTGCCGAAGCACGACAAGTACGAAAGCAAATGCGACTAACATAACACTAAGTACGACGACAGGCACGACACGGCCGAGCAGCCCAAGGGGGTAACCAAGTATATCGTCGTGGAGATACTGGTGGACCACGGCTACGCCGCCAACGATGAAGACGACTACGACGCCTACAAGGGCTGCGACGAGTATAACGGCTACGACGACTCCGCCGCAGACTGCTTCCTAACACTGCCACCGACCATGCTGGCAGAGATTCGAGAGCCACCAGCGGAACTTTGAGGGCCACCAGCTCAGCTACGACAGCATGAGGCAGAGCTACGACGGCAAGAAACAGGAATTCAAGGACCACCTGCAGAGCCACCAGGGCCACCACCAGAGCTTCGACAGCCACCAGCTGAGCTATGAGGGCCACCAGAGCGTCGACGGCAAGAAACAGAGCTTCAAAAGCCACTGGCTGAGCCTCGAAGGCCACCGAGAGAGCTTCGACGGCAAGAAGCAGGGCTTCAAGAACCACCAGCTGAGCCTCGAGGGCCACCAGCAGAGCTTCGACGGCAGGAAGCAGAGCCTCAAGACCCACTGGCTGAACTTCCAGGGCCAGCAGCAGAGCTTCGACGGCAAGAGGCAGAGCTACGACGGCAAGAGGAAGACGACGAGGACTGCAAGGAGCACGGCATGAAGGAAGTGGACGCCGCGGAGAAGCCCGACGCCCTCGCGACAGCCGCGCTGGCGCGCGAGGCTTTCCTCGCCAGGCGCCGCGCCATCGCAAGCCGCACCTACTGGCTGAGCGGAGCTACGAGGGCCACGGGCTGAGCTACGAGGGCCACCGGCTGAACTACCAGGACCACGCGCTGAGCGACGAGGGCAATAATCAGGGCTACGAGGACCACCAGCTGACCTAAAAAGGCCACCAGCCGAGCCACGAGGGCCACAATCTGAACTGCGCGGGCCACAAGCAGAGCTACGAGAGCCTCTGGCTGTACTGCCAGGGCGACGAGCTGAACTGCAAGGGCCACGAGCAGAGCTTCGAGGGCACCCTGCCGCACTACGAGGGCAACAAGCCGAGCTACGCGGGCCGCGAGCAGAGCGTCCAGGGCCTACCAGCGGAGCTTCGAGGGCAACCAGCTGAGCCACGAGGGCCACAAGCTGAGCCACGAAGGCCTCCTGCAGAGCCGCCAGAAAAGCCGACAGAGCTACGAGGGCCACGCGCAGAACCCCCTGGGCAACACGCAGAGTCACGAGGGCCACCTGCAGAGCAACGGGGAGACGCTCGGAAACCCGAGCACGCTGGGTCGCGGGGACCTGCTGCGCAACCTGGTGGCGCACTCCGTAAGGCAGCAGCGTGCGTCTCGTGGGACGGACAGCCAGGCCAGCTCTCAACGGCCAAGAGGGAGTCCTGGGGCCTCTCGACGCACAGGCCAGGCGATTGGCATACTGGGTTACAACAACCCAGATCCGCGTCAAGACGGATAACCTGGGGATCCACGACGAGTGCTCTAAGCAAAAGCTCGGCAACCGATATACGAAGACTGAGCCCAAGCTTTCCAGTATGGCGGCACGTGGAAAAAAACGCACAATTACGTGTTCGAGCGGCTGTGCGGCCTCGCATCCGCGGAGGGCCAGCCTGGGGCTACCTCATGCTTCCTTGACACGTTTCAGCACGAGTCTCTGTTTGACGCGTTGTTCGCCTAAATGGCGTAGTGCAGAACGCAAACGACACTTACAACGGCGAGACCAGCCTGTCTGAAGCCGGAGAAGATAACGACGGACGGAATGAAGTACCGAGCGGGGCCGGAGGCGCATTCTTTTCTCCCCACGATGATTACGACCTCCCCCCTGTTGCTGCCGTACAGTAAGTAGACGGGCCGTCCTCGCTCTTTTTTATTTCATCCGATTCGACGATTGCGGGCCCGACCGATTCGACGATTACGGGCCCGACCGATTCGACGGCAGCCACCGCGGACCACCGCCTGTGCATCAATGCACGGCGCCGAGGCCCTACCCACCGACCCACCCTCCTCATCTTGAGAGCGTATGGTAAGTGTGGTGATCCTCCCCCCCCTTTGGCAGAACCGTCCCCTGGCTTGGGCGCGGTGCGTCACGGGGCCGGTCGCCTGCCCGCCGCGCGCGGCGCGGGCGCTGCGGCTTCGGACGCCAGGTTCGCATTGTGACGCTGAAAAAAAAGGATGAAGAGGAAGGGGGATGACGTCACCGTCGTCGTCCTCGTTCTCCCCTGCCTTACCCTCCCCCCCGTTTGCCCTGCCGCTCCCCCCCCGTCCCCGGCAGCCACACTTGAGGGAGCCAGACACACCTCTGAGGAGATCGGCGATGCCCATCGCATCGACGATCTCCTCCGAGGGGTGTCGAAGCTGATGGGTCCCACAGTGGGAAGGACAGGGGTTTCCAGCGCCGATCCGAGAAATCCGCGCGGACCTCGGAAAGCTTATGTTTATGAAGACTTGTTTTCTGCGAGGAAGGTTCCAGCTGCGACGATGCAGTTCCTGGCTTCTGAGCATCACTCAACTGATCCCTATCCCCGCTGGCATGGCCTGGCCCAACTGGCCGATTTACCTCCCCAGTTGGGGATGTAGGCTGTTTCCTTCGAGTTACGATGGGTATATCCCCAACTGGGGCGGTGGGATGGCAGGGATCGGGATGGGGATGGGGATGGGGAGAGGGATCGATGAAACGATACTGAGCGCCTGACGCCGCGTGAATCGCCCAGCCCTGAACGATCACCAATACCCATCTTCCGTGCGTGGACTCCGCGCGCCCGGGCTCTGTTCTGCAGGCCCCGGGGGGCCCGAAGCGGGTCCCCCATGGGAGGCGCTCCACCTGCTGAAGAACAACTCAGAACGCCAAACTCTGGAAAACAACTCGGGTCTTCTGGGGATCCCGCGTTTATAGATACATCCATATGTGTATATATGTATATATACATATACAAATCGAATTCAAAAAATGGTCACTGGAGACATCCGACGTCTATGGTTTTAAATTGCATGGCCCCAGCACCTGGATAGAGGTCTGGACCCCTTCCTGCGGGAACGGCATCTCGGCCCGAGTCGTTCTTGACGGCCCGGGGCCTCCAGAGACCGAAGCTGGCGAAAAGAAAACCTTGCGCCGCGTTTGTCGCACAACGCGAGGATCGGCTACACCCAAGAGCGACCCTGAGCAAGGACAACCTTTGGTGCGCGGCTTTCGGGGGCCGCGGGGTGGACGCGTCCAAGCACGCAAGCCACATGCGCGGGGGACCCCTGCGGGTCCGCACAAAAGGTCACTCCGGCGAAGGGCCAATCCTCCGCGTAGCCGAACGGGAGGCAATAACTCGGCTCTCCAGCTGCCGTTCAGGACGATCCAGGCACTCGAGGACCGATCTCGCTCTCGGCGTGGCGCAGCTGCTGGGAGATCCCGAAGCTGGAGAACCGCCGAGGAACCCTCGGAGCCTCGAAGGCAAAACTTCCCCCACCCGTCGCCCGAGCGGGGCCAAAATCTGTGATGGGCGTCCGCGCCGGCGCCGCCACCGCGCGACGAGGCGGCACGGGCCCTGCCGCGAGGAGCGCGGCGCCGCGCCACACCGTCCCGCGCGCGGGCGCGCGGGCCCCCGCGCCTCCAGCTCGGACATTAGCCTCGTCGGGGGTGGAGGGTATGGGGCGGGGCGGCGGCGGCGGGTGAGCATCATTGAGCCGATCCCCATCCCCGCCGGCATGGCCTTGGCCCCACTAAAGGATGTAGCACGGCAGATGGGGACAGATGCCGTGCTCTTCGGGTCTCGCGGGGCCCATCCCTGCCTTGGGGGGCGGTCTGACGGGGAGAAGATACCACTGCCCAGTGGGGACGGGGATCGGATATAGGATGCTGAGTGGGGGCGGGGCGGAGAGGAAGAGGTCCACGCCCGCCCCCCCCCCCGAAAAGCCCAGCATGCGAAAAGCGTGCAGATACATCTTCTGCCTCTTCGGGAGGTTTCTCGGAAAGCCCTCAGGGGCCCTCTGGGCAGTCTTGAGAAACCGTTGCGCCGTTTACCTGCTTTGTGTTGGCTCATCTTTGGCGCGGTTTGGCGTTATTGGGAGGCTCTTCGGGCCCGCCTGGGGTCTCAGGCCATCTTGGGTCGTCGTGGGCACATCCAAGGCGCTCGGAACCCACTCTCCCCCGTTGGAGCACGAGTTGTGGCGAATCACGTTTCTGTAAATGGGGGACAGATGGTATAGCTATCTCTTTATAGATGTGTGAAAAATATATCTCTCGGGAATATATGGTCGTCCCCCTATGATCATACAAATTCCCCATCATCCTCGACGGTTTATTATCAGTATTCTCTTTTTTTATCTCTCTCTCTCTCTCTCTCTCTCTAGTCTCTCGCTTCCCTAATCTCTCTCTCTCTCTCCCTCCCTCTTTCTCTCTCTCTCTCTCTCTTTCTCTCTCTATCTCTCTTTCTCTCTCTCTCTCTCTCTCTCTCTCTCTCTCTCTCTCTCTCTCTCTCTCTCTATATATATATATATTATGTTTGTTCTCGCTCTCTCTCTCTCTCTCTCTCTCTTTTTTTTTCTCTCTCTCTCTCTCTCTCTCTCTAAATCATGATAGTTATCTTTCTCTCTCTCTCTCTTTCTGTCTCTCTCTCTCTCTCTCTCACACTATTTCTCTCTCTCTCTCTCTCTCTTTTTCTCTCAATGTTTCTCTCTCTCTCTCTCTCTCTCTTTCTTTCTCTGTCTCTCTGTCTCTCTCTCTCTCTCTCACTCTCTCTCTCTCTCTCTCTATTTATTTCTCTGTCTCTCTCCCTCTCTCTCTCTCTCTCTCTCTCTCTCTCTTTCTCTTCACCACCCCATTGAAAAACGCTGTGGTTCCAATTTTTCCAGCTTTCCCAAAAGACTACTTCCATTGAAAAACGCTGTGTGTTCTAGCTGCTCCGGATTTTCCAGCATTCCCAAAGACTACCCCAATTCCTGTCGTGAAGCTGTCCCATGGAATCCTTTTTTTGTTGTGTTTTCGAAGGGGTTCTGATTATGAGAGAGAGGGAGAGAGAAAGAGAGAAAGAGAGAGAGAGAGAGAGAGAAAAAACGGAGGTGAAACAAGAAGAGGCGCTAATGGAAATGCACTAGAATTGGACGGAGTGTTTTCTAAAACTTCACAGCCAGAGCCCTTCGGGAAGCACCACAACGGATTGTTGTTCACAAGAGGAATCATTTGGAAAGCGCCGCAAACAGGATTCTATTGGAAAGCCTCACAACAGGAACCTTTTGGAAAACATCACAAAAGGATTCCATTGGAAAACCTCACAACAGGAATCCTTCGGGAAGCACCACAAAGGGATTCGATTGGAAATCCTCACTGTCGGAATCTTTTGAGAAGTACCACTAACGAATCCCATTGGAAAGCCACACAACAGGAGACCTTGGAAAAGCACACCAAAGGGAGTCGATTGGAAAGCCTCACAACAGGAGTCCTCTGGAAAGCCCCACAAAAAATCGTTGTGACATTCTCACACTCGGAATATTTTTGGAAAGCACCGCAAAAAGGAAATAAATAGAGAGAGAATGAGGAAGAGTGGGGAAAATAAGGACACAGAAAAATATGAGGAAACAGAACATGAGGAATAATAGTGCAAAAGAGATAACAAGGATAATGATAATGAGGATAATGGGGAAGGGGGCGAGGGGGATAATGACAGGGAGAAAAGCAAGAAGGAAAAACCATCATAATGTGTGATCATCCGGGCGCGAGCATCTATACATATATGCATAGTTCGCGACGTCGTCCTGGCCAACTGCTTTGGGACAGGAAGGGCCAGGCGGATGAGATAACGGACGCGGGCCACTGCGGCAGCGAATGCGGCCCAGAGACGCCCCCGACCCCAAGACAACTAGCGCAGAGTAGGCTTTGGGCTGGCAGCGGGGAAACCTTGAGCACAAAAGCGCCAGATGGCACATGCTCTGAAAGAGATGTGCTGACATCCGAGTGCGTCCGTATCTCCGACTATGCTAAGCATCGAATGCTTCAACGATAAAAAAAAGAGAGGCTCGCGACGTCGCCCTGGCAACTTGTTTCGAGACAGGAAAGGCCAGGCGGATGAAATAAAGGACGCGGGCCACCGCGGCAGCAGGGGCGTTTCTGGAGAGTGCCCGATCCGACCCCAAAGGTACCTTTGGCCGAGGGCCGCGTGACAATATCCTCAGAGCGAGAGTCTGGAGGCCCGAGCGGGCTGGAGGGACAGAGACTGGACAGCGCGCGCAGCGGCGGCGGCGGCGAGGCGAGGGGGGCACTGCGCAGCGACGGCGGTCCGCTTCTGACCTTTCTCGTCATTCCCTTCAAGAACGAGATGCCAGTTGCCAGATTTGCCACAATAGCCTCGGCGCCCTGAGCAAGTTCTCTCGAGAGGCAGCGCGGCGGCAGCACCCTGGGAACAGACAGTGGTAGCCTTCCTGTAGGGCGCGCCGCACTGGCACTGACGCAGCACAGACTTGCGGCAGAGGGGCGACTTACATAGACGAGCTAGCGCGGGGCCAGACCACGGGAACGAGGCCCGAGGATTCCCAGAAAATGCCGGGACACGGGCCGCCACGCGAGCACGGATCAATCTGACAGTGAATCTGTAGGCGGCGCTGCCGGCATCATGCAATTCTGAGTTGTTCACGGGGCCTCACATCTGGAAGGCCCACGGGGCATGGTGCGGAGCGGGGCGGTGGTCTGAGCGCGCGCGCCCAGCTCGCGCACGGCTCGCCGAGCCAGATAGCGCCTGCCGCCCGAGAGGCGACCCAGCCAAAGACGATGGACTGGAATGCCGCCGAGGTGCGGCCCTTCAGCGGGCTGCGGCTCCAGTCGAGCCCGCAGCGAAGCCCCGCGCGCGCATCGCGCGGGCGATCGCGCCAGCGCCGCAGAACAGCTCAGCACGGGACGTCGGCGAAGTCGACGCCCAGTAGCAGCCGCCCGCTGGAACTGTCTCCGCTGGTGCTTTCGGATGGCATGAGGCATCAGGGCTGCCTGGGGCCGTCACGTGGCCGCCGCGGAGCGTTTGCGCACCCGCCGGGGGGGCGTCGCGGCTGGCGCCCTGAGCAGGACGGCGACTGCGGCCAGCGCGGCCAGTCGCCGGCAGCGCGGGGGGGGGGCCCTCGACGAGCTCGACCAGGCGAGCCCCGACGAACGCGCCGAGCTCCTGGGCGGCAGGCGGGGCCCAGACGAGCTCGTCCAGCAGCTGTCTTCTAGGTGTACCGATTGAGACTCTTGGCCGACCGCCATCGACCGCGACGCTGGATCTGCGGGTGCGCTCTCCTCTGCGACAGCATGTCGCCCGAGGCCCCGCCGCGCCGCGGGCTGTGAAGATGCGGACGAAGGCGGATCCAGAGACAGCTCGCGGCAGGCCTGGAGAAAGAGCTGCGGCAGCAACAAGATCGAGCCCCCCCACGGCGGCCGGCTGGGGAGCGCGGCGGTCTTGAGGGCCGCCAGCAGGGGAGCGAGCGAAGGCCCCCGATCGACGAGGATGCTCTCGTCGTGCAGGATCAAGCCGCGGAACTGGCAAGGCGCGCCCCCGCGGCGGCGGCGGGGGGCGCCCGGCGGCGCCCGCGCAGCTTCGCTGCCTCGCCCAGCCTACGACGAGGATGCAGATGGCGAGCTGGCGGCGCCCGTCGCGGAACACGACGCACGCGATTGCGAACGCGACCGGCCTCGGCAGCGGGAGGCGCGCGCGGCTCGGAGCCCCCCGGGCCCGGGCCGCTGCCGCGCGACGGGCCCGCGGCAGCGACGTCGCAGCCCGCGCGTTCAGCGAGCCGAGGAAGTGGGCGACCGCCGCCGGGGGCACGTTCCCGAGGTCCCCGCCGCCGCCGAGGAGGAACTCGCTGCCCATGCACTGCGCGAGAGTCGAGTCGCAGCTGGCATGGTCCGTCCAGTCCAGGTGGTGACGCGCATAGAAGATCACGAAACCTGCAGCGCCCCGCGGTAGAGCTTCTCGGTCGATGGCCGCGCCGCGAGCCGCTCCAGCACAGAGAGCCCCAGGGCCGGTGGCTCCGCAGCTGCGAGCTCCAGGACACGGCGGGCTCTCACACCCGTCAACGCCGCAGCGGCGTGCGCCACCCGCCTCCTCGAGGCCGCGGTGGTCTGGAAGAGGGGCACCAGCAGCCAGAGCCGCTGCATGGTCAAGCAGCGCATCGCCGAACGGCACCGGCGCTGGGCGGGAGCCAGAACCACCCCGGCCGCCCACGGCTGTGGCCGTCGGCCGGTCTGGCCTCTGATGGGACCCACCTGACTGATAGGGCCGGACCAGCGGCGACGGGGAGCGCGCAGATCCTGCGAAAGGCGCTCTGGAAGCGCTTGCTGCTAGCCCGACCCTCCCCGACGGCTAACACCAAGGGCATGCGGTCCGTGAAAAGGAGGAAACGGGAGCCGAGAGCCGCCGTAGACCTCAACAGATGACGATATCCGAGAACGAGTGCCTCCCCCTCCAGGGCCAGAACGTTGGCCTGACCGTCGACGCGCACGGCTGCCATCGAGCCCCAGGCCCCCCCCCCCGAGCGAAGCGCGCCCGGACCTCCTCGAAGTCGACGGGCGGCCGGAGGTCGAGCAGCGAGGGGCCCTTCGAGCCGAGCCCCTCATCCTCCTCGATGCCGACATCCCCGAAGATTGAGCAGTCGAAGCCCAGGGG